AATATTGGTGGTTGAGTAGCTTGGAGTTTTCTTGTTTTATGATACAAAGTACTAGGGAAGTACTGCTTTAAATTTCCCTGTTTTTTTTTTTTTTTGGTACTGGGAATCGAACTTGGGTCCTTGCGCTTGCGCAGCAGGCAGCGAAACCACTGAACTAAATCCCCAGCCCAAATTTCCCTGGTATTTTAAAAGGATTTCAAACTCAAGTCAAATACACATAAGGTTTCACAGCAGTTTTACTACAGTTGGACCCTTGACTTATGAACTCAATTCATCCTGAGGGCTGGCTGTAATTCAAGTTGGTCAGTGAAGGCTTGGGCTCCTCTACACAGCCTTCAAAGACTCTTTCCTTATACAGGCAGATCTCAGTGTCCTTAGAGAGACACTGCCCAAGATTTCTCAGTTAACCCCACACAGGAAAGGATGTTGTAATGTTCTTTCAGAACTCTTTAAGCGTTAAGTCTGGATCTGAGACCATCTGGAAGCACAAGGGGCTGGCATTTAGGTCGTAGCTCAAGACTTTGGTCATAAGTTAAAACTAAAATTCCGGTCATAACCCAAGTTGTTCATGTGTCAGGCTGGTTGTAACTCGAGGGTCCACTGTACTAAGGATAAGGAATGATATTACTCTCTATGCCTTTACCATTTTTTCAAGAGTCTAAATCTGAAATTTGAAGTTTTCTCAGAGCCACATGTGGCCTTTATTAAAATTATTATAGGAAAGAGAAGTTATGTCAAATATAATGTGTAGATGAGAACAAGACAAATCAACTTTTTAGTGAAAAAGACCCACCAGTGCAATGCACGTATTGCAGCTCAACTCTTTGGTCCCAGCTCATCTTCTTAGGGTGCTCCATCTTTCCGAAGCTTCTGTTAATGAGAAAAACTCACTTGTTGCAGAGATCGATTTTAATCCCAATGAGTTACTCAGAAAAAAAGACCAACACTGATTGTTTTCCACTTTCCAGCCTCCCGAGTAGCTGGGATAACACATGCCTGGCTTATTGTTTTGTACCTCTGTTTAAATATGTAGAAACCCTGAAAAATAATTTAAACATTGTTTTCTCTCCAGACAAAACAATGTTGGCAGAAAGGATTCCTGTTCCCTCCAGTCCTGTTCCCATAGCAACCATCGACTTGGTACAGCAACAGACAGAAGATGTCATGCCACGCGTTGAGCCCAGACTTCCCCCCAAGAAAACCAAGCACCAGGAAGAACAGGAAGATGTGAACAAACCAGCTTGGGGGGTCAGCTCTTCTCCCTGGGTGACCTTCGTCTATGCACTGTACCAAATTAAAGAGATGATGCAGTTGGCAAGAGAAAACCGAGCTTCTGAGATCCAGCCTTTACAGGTAACCTCTGCCCGCTGGGCCAGCAGTACTGTCTTCGCTGAAGACACTCAGTTAATGACTTTTTATCCATCGAGATTTAGTCAAAGTCTGGTGGGAAAAATAGATGCACAGAGAGTTTCAGTACACTGTGATATCTGTGTCCTAGGGCTTTTTACAAGGTCCCTTGGAGGGAAAATTCTGACGTATGAGCTCAGGAAGGCTTCACAATAGGGATCGTAATTCTTAAAATATATAAATAAATAAATTCATTTTAACTTCTTACGAATTTCAGTGTTGATTGATACCAGTTGTAGTGGGAATATATGGTTTTTGTTTTGGGGGACCACACTTATTGATCTAATCCCAGAGTTTTGGTGGGAGTTTTACAGAAAAGAGGAATGCAGTAAATATCCGTTCGATTAGTTAAGTCAGATAGCAACCCGAACTACTGTATAGCTCTGACAGGACATCTGACTCATGGAAGTATGGTTCTGTGGTGGCTACACCTGAAAAATAAAAGTATGTGATTTTCCTTGTTTTGAGAGGAATGAAAAAGCTTGTAATTTATGTGGTCAGAGCGTACTGTGACTTGGGGAAGGAAGGAAGGGTGACTCTTGTGAAAGTCTGGCCGAGGGAATAAACTCACTTCCCCCTTTAAAATGCATCTCTCCCTTTTACTTACTTGATGAGTCACACAAGTTCTATATTTAGGGTAGTTTAAGAGAATCTAGAAGTTAAAAAAAAATGGAGGAAAGACTAAAAATAAAGAGGAAAGAGTAGTTTACATAGTTTCCTTTTTAGAAAGCTCATTGAAGGACCTTAGTTGAATTTATCTGGCCTTTGTAAACTAATGCAAAATCTTCATGTAACTTTAACCCAATCTCATTCTTCAGCCCATGAGTGATCCTCTATTTATCAAGATAATAAACACACGAATACCCTGCCCAGTCCAGAACTAGATGCTGGGGGAGGAGCAGTGGGGGGAAGATTTCAGTGCCTTAGGGCAGGCGTGTGAAGCAGGAGGAAGGATGACGCCCGCTCCTCCAGCAGCAGTGTTTTCCTTTGCACATCCAGCCTTGTCTTCATAGGTCCTTATTAAGCTTATGTAGCATTGAAAACTTCTTTTAAGATTGCTTTTTTACATTTCAGAATCATGAGATTGGAAACCTTTTTCTTTTTGTCTGTCTCTTTTTTGAGTATTCATCTACTGGAAAGTAATGAGTTCTAATTTAGAGGAAAAACGTTTTTTAAAAAATTGTGGTTCCTGACTTGTAAAACCGATACAGCATTTTATAAAAAGGTACTAGAGTGTGTGTATTGTTATCATTAGTTACATAGTGCTAGCTTACATTCCTCTTTTTTCATGCAGATATTGTCTTTTCCTAATTTCTTAGTGCTCATTTTGAAATCTCAGAAATACATTAGGACTCTTAATTACAGGACATTCTGTCCCCAGCTCTCTCCAGGATGAGAATAATCCCTATTTACTTTAATTAGACCAAGTGTCTTCACCTCTTAAATTCTGTGGTCTTGGCAAGAGGCCTCCATTCAGTGACTTGCCATGTGGCTGGGGCATGCAGTAATACTGGAAATGACTTGCCTGGGAGTGCTAGGTATTGGGGTCATAACGTTCCTTTATCCACAAGACACCTCTGCTTATAGTGTTTGTGCTTTTCATGCGGCTCTGGCAGTTGCACATAGGAAAAGAGATGAAAGGTAAGCCATTTTCTCCTTATCCTCTATTACTCGGGCCCTGAAATGGGCACTCCGGTTGACCTTCCTGGGGGTGTTGTGTCTGACTTGAAAACATGCAAAGCGCTGCACTTACTTGCTGTCCCTCACCACTGGGCATCTGTGATTTCCTTCCAGGTGACCAGTGAGAATCAGGAAAGTGCCCCAGCAGGTGCAGCCCGGCATGTTCCTCGCGAGCCCCACTCTGACCCACCTAGAAGCCAGCCATCCCCTGCTGCAGCAGCATCTTGGCTGCAGACCAGCCCTGCCCACCCTGGTGGGGACCCCAGCGGGGACACCGAGGAGCCTTGGGCTCAGCCCACTGCGGAAGGACCCTGAGGGCAACCTGCTCATCCCATGCCTGCATGGAACCGGGCTCCTTGGCTGGGACAGAAGGCGCGGCCCCAACCTGAACACACTGCATATGCTTCTCAATCTCTAAACTCGTTAACGTGACCCGCACACACACACCTGAGCCACAGCACACACATCCCGGCGGAGGGCAGAAGGGAGACGATCAGCAAGGATCTAGGCTGGGCTGGATGGGCAGCAAGGTGCGAACCCCAGTGGCACCAAGTGCAGGGAACACTCGTGTTCGTCTCTGCGTGAATTTCCCTCTTCTGGTTATTTATTCTAATTACTGGCTTCTTCATGCAAACGGGGAAGGATCAGAGTAGATCTATAATTTTGCTTCTCTTGAAGAGAACCATTTAAAAATTATAAACATATTTAAAAAGTAACCAGGTGAAAGTTAGTAGATGCTTTTTGTTTTGAAAAAAGCTAATGTTTCGTTATAAACCCTGCATATCCCTAGCAAATATATTTTTATATATGTATGGTATATAATGAAAATAGTCATACTGAGCAGCAACAGCTGTTACCAACTACTGCAAGCTAAGCTGAGCTTTAAAAATGCCTTTTGTTTTAAACTGGATTTCAGAATGACTAGAAAAGAGGAATTATTTTTAGAAAAAAGAAAAAAGTAAAAACCAACCAATTCAGTATCCTGCAGCTTGACGGAGAAGGGTTTACAGAGTATGGTGATACTGTAATAGCCTTGATCACTATTTGCTGTTTTATAGTGATTTGGGCTCTACTTAGTTGATGGAATAAAACAAAAATCACTAAGTTCCAAAGGGTTCCTTTACTTAAGCAGTACTATTTACAAAGAACAGTATAAGATTTAAGTGCCTGGGGGAACCATATGATTTTTTAAAATTCTGTAATGGGTCAGTTTTGTTTGTGAGGTGGTAAATAGGCAACCAGGCATGGGAAGGATGGGAATAAGTACTTTCTAATGACTGAAGAAATAAATCTCAGTATATTCTTTCCTAAGAAGATGCTGTCGGACACTGGACAGTTTGGATTCGGGTACGGAGCTTGCATATTACAACTGCAGTCAGAACAGTGGCTGGGTGAATCACATGGAAAGCTTGCTGCTAAGAGTGAAAGGGGAGGTTAAGGGGAGGCATGGGGAGGGCCGTGGAAAAGGAATCGCTGCTTTAGCTGAATGAAGGTCAATGGTACCATGCATAATAGCTGTGGAGGAGCCTAAAACAGAGGAAGAGCAGTCAGAAATGAGCAACTCACTTTAGCCTCTGGCCATGCTTAGACGAGATCAGTTGTAAAGAGAGGCTTGTCCATGACAGCTCCCCTGGATACTGCATCTGGGAGAAATCCTATGCTTGCTTGGATATCTGGCTTCACCACAAAACACAGCCTACAGATAAAGTAACTGAAAGAAAAGAATTAAGCAAATAGTTATTTTTGCACTTGAACTGAAACGTACTGTACTGTAAATTATCGTGACTCATTTTAAGTGACCTTTAAAATCAGATGTATTTATTATCCTTGTGTAATTACTGAAATAAAGTAGTGGGTGATGGGCTGAACCTCACCTGTGAATGTACAGTATGTGACTCTGTGAAGCTGACTGTAGGAAGTCAAAACTTCATATTTTATCTTGTGTTTACAATTCTCTGAAAAGCCTGCTGTTTTGGAAATGCACAGTGGACATGTTGAAATAAAAATAAATGCCATTTTAAAATATTTCTTAAATGATAAAGATGTGGGCAAACAAGTGAAAGTCCTTACTCTGTCATGAATGAGACCAAACTCAACATGCCTTTGCGATGAGGTGTTTGTTATGAAAACTGGCCCAATAATGCAGTAATTGCCAGCCTTCTGAACTGACACCTTCATGAGTTTGTGGACCTTGTGACTTCTTCCTGTGCTCAACATGCCACATGCCACTTGGAGAAATACTAAAGTGAGTTCAGATTAAATCTTGCTTGGAGAACTTTTTAGACCCTCTTGAGATCCAAGAAATATTTAGGGGTGTCACAGAGCTCAGGCTGATAATCACTGCCTTAATGACTTATTTTCCTACTTTTTCCTGTGATTGTAGAAATAGTAAATTACCCCAGAGTGTTGAGTTTGTGTGGGTCCAAAGAGGCTAATTGCTAATTATTAAACTGTTCTTACAGCCTTAAGCAGAAGAATAGATTAAATACATTCCAGTAGGCAGTGTACCTCCTGGAAAGCCTATGGCACTCAGAAGAACAGTGCTGCTTTACCAGGCCATCAGTGCCGCCAGGGCACATGAAGCAGAGTTGGCTGGAAGCTGCTTCTGGGTTTACAGTTCCTTCCAGTGCTGCTGGGGAGTTGGGGGCACTGCTTACTCAATACTCCTCTCAACCAACTAGGAGTTGAGCAGTGAATTTGGGAAAGGGGACCACACCTGTGGTCACTGAGTGTGCTGATGAGATTGTTCTAGCTTTACAAGAAGCCCAGGTGGTACCTGTCACTGTCCCCAGTGACAGGTAAAATGAGGATTCAGAAGCTAACAGAGCTTAGGTCAGTGGTGGTGAACTATGGCATGCATGCTGTGGAGCAGCAGGCTGTTTGTATCATTGAAAGCTCTGAGAGGTTTGCCATCACTGGCTTAGGTTAGAGAATCACAAAGCTGGGATTCAAACTCAAGTTCTCCTGATACCAAAGGCCTGGTCTGCCCAGCACCTTCCTCTGTCCCAGGAGACAGGGCAGCCATTCCCTGGTTCTGTTGCGGTAGAGCAAACCCTAAGGCCACCCTGGCCGGAACTGTCCCATAGATGCCTCAGACAGGTGTGTGGTTATATTCTATTTAGGGTTTCTGGGCACTCCAGCACTTTCAAATTTCTGACGCTTTGTTAATGGTGATAATCCCAGACCTTCAATGCTGTGCAGGTGACAGGCTTGGCAGCTCTGCAGAGAAAAGCTGGAGGTGGAAAGGGACCCTAAGACCAGTGCCCCTGGAATCGGAAGGGCAGACAGATGTGTCACAGCTCAGCATCCTGGGGCAGCAGCCTGGAGAACAGCACTGTCCGGGCCAACTTCCGAGAATGGAAATTCTCTGTGCAGTCCAATATGGCGGCCATGAGCCACATGCAGCCACGCGTCTCTTGAGATATGGGTAAGTGCATCTGAGCACTTAATTTCTAACTTTGAATGGCCACATGGGGCTCAGGGCTACCATAGTGGACAGCACAGGTATGGAGATCACCTGTGGGAGACCTCTGGGCCACAGTTTCCTCAACTTCTGTGTGAGAAGCTGGACTCTAATAGTGTGTGAAGATGAGGGTATGCTTGTGATGGAGGTGACCCATAGGGATCAAAAAAGGTTTTTCATTCAGAAGCTCGTCAGCCTTTTTTGTGCATCAGAACAAAACAGGCTCCGTGTGGAGCCCCAGACCACTCCTGTGTATTTAAGAACACCAGACTCCAGAACTCCAAACCATCAGGCAGTTGGGAGACTGATGCTTGGATGGGGACAGAAAAAGGGGTGAGCAGTGAAGAGTGGTTTCTCCAGTGAGAAAGTATCAGACTGTCTGCTGGCACAAGCTGTGGCTTTAAGGGAAGGAACTGGAAACACTGCTCTCTGGGATGGGAAAATGTGAGCCAGTCCGGGTGGGTACCCAACTCACCCAGCTCCCATCTGCCCCCTGTAGCTCCAGGAAAGCCCCAGTTCTCACGTGGCAACTCAGGGACCTCTGTAGGCTTATGGCTGGGAAGGTGAGCGCTGGAGCATCTGAGCCTCAGGCCACCTCTGCAGTGGAGGTAATTTTAGTGTCTGTTTTATAGGTTGTTCTGATGCTTACCTGACACCGTGCCTGTGCATAAATGCCTGGATATAGTTGTGTGGCAAAGGGCCCCTGCAAGAGCAGTGCTGTCTCTTTCCCAACCAGAGCCTCGATCTGAGTGTTTTGTTGACATTTGAGTTTATAAGCATTCCATACAAACTGAAGTGCCTGCGAAATATACTGTGCAATAAACCTTTCAGTTCCAATATGTACTGTAAACACTAAGTGGCTGGAGATGTGACTTGATTGAGAAATAAAATTGATCAAAACATAAGTTGAAGAAGATAAAAAAAGATAAGTAACAATTCCTTAACAAACAAGGCCTGCAGAGAGCCTGTAAGAGCTGTTCCGTAATTTCCATTTTCTCTTTCTCTGAAGTATCAACAAAAGCAATAAATGTTGATACTATCTTCTTCTTTTGACCACTAATTTAAAAAAAAATCTAAAAAACTGCTTCCAAATTCTTTAAATAATAAAAGAAGCTATCCCACTGAAAGCATCTTCCAAGACTGATCCTGGTAAGTATGCCCATCCCAAATTGCTGGTGACCTATGAAGACACGTGCCACGCCTAAAGGTCATACCTAAAACCATGTAAAGTTACCTTAGAAAGATGGTATGACTCTTAGGCCAGAGAAAGGCTTGACGATTTTAACAGCCCTGAGTAAACATGCCTGCTGAAAGGGGGTAGGGTGCTGGGTCAAGAATAAAGATGGAAAACCAGCGGTCACAGAGGAGGTCGCTGGCAGGCTGTGGACGAAGGCAGGGGTGGCTCCGCCACAGACTGGGTGTCTCATCCCAGCAGCGAGCCTGTCTCACCAAGAGTGTTTGCAGTGGACTCTGGCCTCGTGACATCAAACAAGTGGACTGTAAAAAAACTCTTCACCCTTTCCGTTTACCAAGGAAGCTTCTTCTGACTTGACCCCACATAAATCTGCCTTCTGCAAATGTGCCAGGCTGCCAAGGCATGCAATTTTATCCTCATGCCAGTTATATTTTCGACTGTGAATCACTAAATGGACGGACTAAATCGTTAAACTGGCTAACAGGAGACAGATCTTAAAGAACAATGGCAGAAATCAGACTTTTGAGTCAAGACGGCCCAGGGTCACCCACTGGCTACCTCATCAGTGCCACTGCACGCGGCAAGGACTCAGAAAGCAGCTTGCTCCTGGGTCATCTAAAAGTACCTCTTTCAACTGCAGGCTTCACCAAAATCCCAACACCATTCCTATTATCTACGCACAGGAGCCTGCTCAAGAAGAAAAAGCTAATTTAAACAAATGCACATCTCCAATTCTGGGGCCTAGTCACACAGATTAATGTCAGGTCCTGTTTTTCCTCTTGGCATCATTTCAAGGTCTTAATTCATCTGTATGTTTGGATACATCGAGGCAATCCATCATCTACTCCAAACCTTGTAAACTCTACAATCTTTTAAATTTCCAGATTTAAAAAAAGGCCATAAATTCAAATAATGTCCTAAATGTCAGATGGACACTCCCCTGTAATTCAACCTGAAGTATTGGCAAATTATATAACAAATTCACAAAGCATTTTTGTGATATGTAAAATGTTTTTAAAACCGCCTTAAAATAACATTTGAATGATATGATTGTCTAAGCATGGCCACCCACGCTCTGTGTCACCCACACATGCGGTGTCAAACAGTCCAATTTGCTAACAACGGCAGGCTTTTGTGAGGCACCTAGTGTAAGGAAGAACACGGCAAAGGGTTCGTTCTGCCCTGAACTCCACACCTATGGTGGTGGGGAGCACGAAGCCAGCTTCCGCCCAAGGGGGGACACTGCCGTCTGACTGCATCGTCCCTTAAAGTGCTTAAAGACCTTTAACAGGACAGAGAAAGGGAAGGAAAGAGAAAACGAGGAAGGGAGGAAGCAAGGAGGGGAAAATCTGCGCATCACTTGATGGGGATTTGAGTTTGATCAGTTCTATATTAAAGCTGAAATAAAACAACAACTTAGACACCAAGCAACATCACCAGTAATGCCTTTAATTGTTCAGCTTCTCATGGTACTCAAGTAACAGAAACAGACAAATCCGTGATTTCCTCTCAAAACAAACATGAGAAATGAGATCCTGGCAGTGTTCTCTTCTCTTTCGCAGGCTGTTCTGATCATGATGTCACCGGCCAGGGGCCCAAGGAGCTGTCCCCTCCCTCGGATGCTCACGTTACACCCACCATGTGGGTGGCAGACTCCTTTCAGGAGACGAGCTGGGTGAGCACACTGCCCTACCTCATACACTAACATCACCAATAAATAGTTATAAAAAGTAAAAATCAGATTCAACTGTCACAGAAGTAATCAGAGCTGCTGCTTGCGCCATCATCATAAAAGTGAATGGAAGCTACGCTTTGATCGTTTAACATCAGTCTACATAAAGGCTCCAAGTGAATTTAGTGGTTTACAAAAAAAGCCAGGCTCCTGACATTAAAAGAGGTCTTGCAAAAGCACATCTGTAAAAACTGACATATGGCTTCAAAAGAAACACCATTTGAAAATCAACCTAGCAAGTTCTCACTGAGCAGCTGCACTCTACCACACAGGGTAAAGAAGTTCTGCTAATGGCCCAGGGACTTAGCTCAGTGGTTCTGGCGCCCGCCTCAAAAGCACAACGTCCTGAGTTCAATCCTCGGGTCCAAAACAAAAAAAAGAAGTTCTACTAAATCTGGCTCAGGGAATCCAGTCCCCAAATTCTCTTGGTCCCTCCCCCATGATCCGTAATAAAAGGAACTCCTCGTCCTTTATGATCGCATCAGAAAAACACCTGGGTTGGATTCTCAGAGAATCAATTCAGCAACATCTTTGCGCTTGGATTATTCTGCTGTGTTCAAACTGCAGACCTCTACTTTGGCCTCCTTCCCTCTGGGTCGGATCTCAGTCCTTATTTCACTTGCGTTTAACATCAGGAATCAAGAAACAAAACAGACTTGTGTAAAAAGTATCACAGGTCTGTTTTGTAGGACATCATTATAAACATAAATAATTTTTTTAAAATGACTCAAAATGTCACAAAAGGTTAAATGCCTTCCATTTCAATATATAAAAAATAATTACAATTTCTGGTCCTTATAAATGTATATGGAAGTCCTATCAGAACTTTAAAATATAATCTTAGGAAACGTTTCTTTTTATCACAGTTATTAAATAGCCAGGTGGGCACTGTTGAAAAATAAAAAATCAAAAGGAAGCCAACACAGCGCAACCTTAGGAGTAGGGTTGGCCCTCAGCATGGGTCTCAGGGAGGCTTCTTTCTCCCTGAGCCAAGGGACAGACACCCCAGGGCTGGAGCTCTAGCAGCACTGCCTCTGCTTAGCTCTGTGCTCTTGGACCAGTCTTTTAACCTCCCCACACTGCAGTTCTGCCAGTAAGCACTTTTTCCAGTCACGTGTTCCGAAGAATATTAATTTCATTAAAAAGGGTTCCATGGTCAAATTCAGTCAGAAACTCTGCATGATTTTTCCCTTTTAGGAGAGTCACAGTGTACACCAGCATCAGAAAGGCTCTGAGAAGTCCTGCAGTATATTCGATTAACCTTGATCAATCTCAGCTGACCTCAGATCCCTTTCTGGCTCATGTTAGTACTCTGAAAAACCCTGAAACAGCGTAACTCCAGTCTCTGCCAGCACTGATACTGATGAGATGTAAGGAGAGTAACGCAGTCTTGTGACACTGGTTCAGGGGATTAAGAGGATTAGTGCCTCGTGTTACCTAGGCACCCGTCACTTACTGGTTCCTTGAAGAGCAACATGATTTCCTTGTTCCTAATGAAAGCCTTCATCGAAGCAAGCGGTAATGGCTGTCACAGAAGCGTGGTGCCCACCTACAGTACAGGAGGTAGCAGAACCTGCCAGGAATACCAAGCTCCCTTCAGTAAGAGCCATCTTCCTTTCCAGTTGGCTTATTTTTCTCTACAGCTGCTGTCAGAGTAGCTCTGGTCAATTGTATCAAGCCCCTTGCCCCGTGCCTGTGTCCTGGTTCTCAGTGAGGTCCACTTGCAGGGAGACAGTCAGGGGCGGGTTAAAAAGCTGCTCCTCCAAGAAGGCACCCCCCAGGCCATACTGCTCTTCATGCAGACTCATTTCCTTAGGCAACAAGTGGCTCGATCCAAGAACAAAGTCTGCAAATCTAATAACAATTGTTTTGTTCTTAAAGTTTTGTTAGCACGGAAAGGTTTATTTGGGAAGATAATATGTGCCCTTGCTACTTATCCCCTTTAATGAAATTTGACTTTGTTTTGATAGAGGATGGCACTTCTACTCCGGGTATAAAGGAGGAATGGCAGACGTGACCGCCATCAGGGAAGGGAGAAGGAAACAGGCAGCCAAATGTACCCACTCTTGTCTGCTAATTCCTTCTCGTCTCTCTAGTTTTTAGATGTTGAGATTTATCATTCATTATTTTAGTGTCAATACCTCACATAAGATCAGTACACTCCGGCAGATCAATATTAACTTAGACATTAGCTGTCCTACTGCAAGGCCAGGGTACTGAAGAAAAGAACTTCTGACAACTTCGGCATCATCTGCTTCTAAGCTGAAGTACCTGTCCCACAACACTGTACTGTTTTCAGAATAGTCCAAAGTCAAGCCGTGCTGGAGCAGCTGAGCAGGACTTACTTCTTAGGATCCTGGAGTCTGGAGATGGGCAGCCACGTCGGGAAGCCGGGCTGGCGGCAGGCCTGGCGCAGGTCCTCCAGACCTCGGGCTGTTTCGACCTCAGTCTGCTCCCTGTACTCGTCTTCAGTGAGGTGTTTAGCCACTGGCCACTCCAGTGCAAGCCACTGCTTCACTCTCCTGAAACAAGTGGCATTTGGTTGCTAGCTTCCTGCCCAAGTCAATACTTAGGATTTATAAAATACTCCTTTCAGACAGTAAGAGTAATACTGCTTAGCTTCTTGAATGTCACACCTACACTTTCCACTGTCATTACTGTAACCACTACGACTGAGACCTAGAGGATGTACAGTTGGGCCTAATTCAGGCCTCCCTGATTCCTGCTAATGTAAATAATGTTCTGAGGCCTTTGAGAATCAAGTTCGGACAGAGACATTTATTGTGCTTTTCTTCCTCAGTGATTTCTAATCCCAAAATCAGATAAAAGTCTGACTTCTTTATGCTTGGCCTGCTGGTTTTCTTGGGCACGAACTGACAAGCTGCTGAGATATCCTTTTATGGGGACCCAGCACGATGCACGCTTGCCACTTCTCTAGTCCAGGAAGCTGGATTTGTGGAAAATCACTTCCACCTAGTGGTGGTGCTTCTGACTGATCCTAGAGAGAAAGAGTAAATACCATACAAAAGTCTTTTATGTACCATAATTTATATTAGTTCTTATACTATATGCTGACAGGCTCATGGTTGGAATTTTTTTTCCAACCTAGAAAGTCTTAAACCTCATAAAATGCAGGTATCTAAAACTTAGGAATATAAGAATCTCATAAAAAAGAATAATGATGATAAAGTTTTAGAAACATTTATATTTATCAGTGAGTGTAAAAAAAGTTTTGGGTTAGTATTAAAGCTAATATAACCAGAGATTTCCAAATGTGAATAAGCATCTGAATGACCGGGTGGTTTTTAAAACATGTATATTTTCTTGAGGGTCAGGACTTCAAAAATCTAAGAGCATCTAAGGTTGAGGTGCCAGTTGGGGATGGACTGACGGATGCTACCTCCATCTCCTCTGAATCCTCCGCCTGGTCTCCCTGGAGGAAAGCCCTGGTCTCTGAGCCAGAAGTCTGGGGCCCCACCCTGGCTTTGAGGTTTACTAACTGCAATTCTTTAATGTCCTGAGCCTCACTTTTCTCATTTAAAAATAATGAAAGCAGGAGCCAGGGATTTAGCTCAGTGGTTCTGCTGCCTGCCTCACAAGTGCAAGGTCCTGAGTTCAATCCCCGGTACCAAATAATGATGATGATGATGATGATGAAAGCAGTAAGATCTACCTCGTTGTCTTAGTTACTTTTCTCATCGCTAAGGCAAAACACTCAGCACCCAAAGTTAAAGGAGGAAAAGTTTATTTAGCTCACAGGTTGCAGAACTTCAGCCCATAGTTGGCTGGCTCCAAGCACAGCGGCATGACAGAGGAGAAACAGCTTATGGCATGGCAGGCAGAAGGCAGCAGGCACCAAGCAGCCACAGGAAAGCAAGCCTCCCTTCCCCTTCTATCCCATCCAAGCTACAAGTCCACCCAGAGTGGCCTTCCCATTATCCAGACCCAGAACTATGCTAAACCAATCAGTGGACTAATTTAGTAATCACGCACCTTAATCTCAATATCACACACCCTAGATCAGTGGTGGCAAACCTATGGCATGTATGTTATTTGTTTTTCTTTTAAGACAAAAGACGTTAATGTATGAGTTGTTTGTCTAAACTGACACCTCAGTATTCTTGGGCCAAGGATTTAGCTCAGTGATTTCGCTGCCTGCTGCACAACTGCAAGGACCCGAGTTCAATCCCCGGTACCAAAAAAATAAAAATAAAAAATAAAAAATAAAACCTCCGTATTCAGGTTTAATTGCAGTGCTGGGAATAAATAAGTGGGTTTGGGGACTCACCTGTGAAAGGCTACCATCACTGCTCTAGATCCAGCCAGCTCTAAAAAGCCCCAGCTATGAGTGCACGAGGCTCTAGATACTAGCCAGAACACTCATGAAGTCACTGCACAGATTAAATGAGATTTGTGTGGCTTAGAGTTACAAGGTGGGTGTTCAATAAGGACAATCTAAAGATAGTAAAATATATGGAAGCAGCTCTTTGCAAACTAGAACGTACTACACAAAATCAAGATATTATTTCTCTGGTTTATTAACCTATGAGCTTCTGTTTTATTCCTCGTTCATCATATAATTATTCACTAGCAAAATTTAAAATTGAGGGAGTTATAGTACATTTTGATTATTATGGAATGCACAGCAAACACAGAAAAGAACCACTGTGCAGGTGACAGGACCTGCTTGGCTCTTAGCAGAGCAGTTGAACAGTTAAAGAGGAGGAGGAAGGAATTCTGTCCTGAGTCCCTTGGGCCACAGCCTGGCAAAGGATCCAGGGCCTGGAGGATGAGGGTGGCCAGCCCTCTCCAGCAGAAGGACTCTGGGACCACTCAGGGTCCACCCCTCTGACTGGCACTGGTGTCTTCCAGCCTCACCACCAGCTTCTGTGTACACGCCCTGGCCCGTCAACTGGTGCATTTTCAACCCTGTGACACTGCTGTGCAGTCACCAGATCCATAAACTACCTGTTACCATAGAGTCTCTTGGTTCATGGCCAAATCACTCCCCTTCCAGCACAGGTCTCACTGCCTGTTAAGGTGCAGCTCTAGAGTGGCCCCCAAAGTCCCATGTGTCCAGAGGTGAGCTTGTGGAGGTGACCGGATCAAGAGGGAACTGTACTCCACAGTGGACTGATGAGTTCAGAGCTCAATGTGCTCTTAGGAGTGGGGGCTGGTTGCAGATGGGTCACTGGGGGAGTGACCTGAAAGGGTGTCTTCATCCCCAGCTCTTCTTCTCTCTCCTTCCCAGCTGCCATGTGTCCGACAGTTTTACTCAGCCATCCTTTCCCACTGTGCCATTTCTGCCCTGGAGCCAACCAACCATGGACTGAACCCTCTGAAAACCGTGAGCCTAAAGAAACTTCTCTTCCTTTAAGTTGTGGGTGTCAGGTACCACATCCCAGTGGTAGGAAAGTGACTACTACACTGCCCTGTTTGGGTCCTTATCCATGCTTGTCCAGATGATTGTGGCATCTGAGGCTAGGTCTCCTCTTACAGAGGTCTCCCTTACCACCCATCTCCTGTATGAGAAGACAGAGGGACCACATTCCACTGGCTCTTCAATGTTCATGGTCTCTGATTTGATTTCTGTTTGTTGAATGTATTTTAAATTTTGATTAGATGAGTTGCCAACATTTAAAAACCATTAGGATTCACATTCTAATCCAAATTCATGTTTCTAGTTTTCTAGAAAATCAGATCCGGCAATGCAGGACTCATATGCTCAGGTGGTAATCAGCTCAAGCTGAGTGGTAACTGCTTCTCTGGTTGAGGGCACACTGCAGAATTCCCCTAGTCCTCCTGTCACCCAGTCTCACCCTGGCCTGTCCCTGCATAGAAGACAGACCAAGCTGCACCCTGGTCAGTTGCTCCCTGCAGAGGGAATCAGACCAGATTCATCGGCACGGGCTGTGATGCACCCCAACCCAGGCAGTACCCACCTCACCTGCTGCCTCGGAATGGTACCAGATGGGCCTTTTCTCTCTCGGGAACTCTCCATGCTTATTCACCAAGGCATTTTGGTTCATTATTTAAGATTCAGCACAGTGATATCAATTGCAGGACAGCTTTCCTGAAATTTCTGTATATCTTAGTTCCTAGGCAAGCTCTATTTATTCATTTATTTATTTATTTTTGAAATAGGGTCTCGCTATGTAGTTCAGGCTGGCCTTGAACTCATGATGACCCTCCTGCCTCAGCCTCCTGAGGGCTGGGATTACAAGCAAGCACCACCACACCCACTAAGCTCTGTTTTAACATTTAAAATATAGAAATGGATGCCTATATCTCCTCAAGTGCTCCCCAGGGCAGGGCCCATCCCCATCTGGGCACCCGACACAAAAGCAGGTGCTCAGACTCCAGGGCTGAGGAAGACACAAAAAGCCATGACAACAGAAGTCAATTCATCTTTATATATTTTCAAAAGGCTTAGGCCTTAAGTTAAAACCTAAGAGAAAAGAAATCCCTTCATACAGTGGACTGAAGAACACCTTCAATCATTTATGATTCATTTCTTTTTCCTAATTCTTATCTTATAAGCACAACTAATATCACTAAAGCAGTCTGTGACTTTAATAAAAGAAAATGTATCATAAAAGTAGAAATTTTAGGTAACCCAGGGCCCAAGTGATTTTACCATTGAGTTTAATAAATTTGAGTGAGCTCTAACAACCTAGTAACTGGTTGTAATTATAAGATCAAATATGATATGCACAAAAAATGCCCCAAACAGTAAATAAAACCAGAGCCTGTTGTGTCACGTTTCTGGGAACAAAACCGAACCGTACCTCTTCAGATAACTGAGCGCTCTTAGTGGGTAGTGCAGACTCTAGGAGCACAGGAGCAGCAGCATTGCAGCGTAGGCGAGCTGAGGCACCGCCACGCCGGCGTGGATCAGGACCAGGGACAGCAGCCGCAGCGCCCACAGCAGCAGAGTTCTGCTCCGGGCCTCAACAAGAGGCCCGTGTTTGTAGCAGACAGCAAAGCTTAGACATCCGACTAACAGGACATAGCCTGGAAAAGAAGAAGACGAAGGCATAAACATATAAATCTGAACTTACAAAAACTAAGCGAAAACCTGGGAAAGTCTCGACTTAAAAGTGCTACCAGAAAACTTGACTTTCTTTTTTTTGCGATGAAAGTTGAAAAAAAATCTTACTTTTAGAGCTTCATTTTCATACCAAATGAAATATTAGGCTGCCTTTTGTAATAATGTAGGCTTTATAATCATTTTTATGATATAAGAATATGATCATATATATGGTGAATGTTTGAATTAGAAAATGTATTATAAGACACATTGCCACTAATCCCCCTTGTTCAAACACACATCCCATCATTCTTGCCACATTCTGATACTTCTGGAAGTTCATCTTTTGCGAGTCTTTATGAAATGTCATTAAAAAATGGTGAATGTCACCGACAAGTGCCATCCATCAGAAAGGCAGGCTCATAAAAACATTACAGCGTGTCCTCATCCACTTTATTCACTGGATGTGCCACTGTAGAACCTCCTGCTCTTCCCCAAGTCAACACGATCATGAAAGGTAAAGTTCTGAATCAAATCAGGACATCTAGGCAGCCACAACTAAAGACACTAGTAATTAAAAAAAAAAAAAGTAAACATTCACTGTATTTTTCGATCCTGTCTCATATAAGCATGTCTGTTTTCAGTCCAGTGACCTAGATGGGCAAATCTTATCATGGTTGTTTGGGTCAGAAATAAGTCACAGTGGATGTCACTATCTGCTATAAGCCTTATCTTACATTTTTTTATCTTCTTGTCACAAATGGAAAAAGTAACTTTACAGTGGCAGGCGGGGTCAGATGGTCACTCTCCTAAGCCAGTGCTTAGTTAACCGTTACTAGTGGTGTGACTGCGTGGTACCGTGTTTTCAGATGTGGGCCAAGGTAAAGTGCACATCGCCTCCTATTCCACCCAAAAGGGGTAATTTATATCTAAGCAAACCTCAGGATCTAATCGCCAATGTACAGGACATGTCGGGGAGAGAGAGATGAGTGGAATTATGCCACAGTCATCAGGTAAATCCAGAAGGCGGACAGTCTATGAGATAACTCCCTTGGTCTTTTCAGCATACCACCGTGATTTAAAAAGAAACTACTATGGATTAAGAGCTTTACAGAACATAATGGATGCAGGCTATGTTTCTAGACTACATACTAGTTTTTTTCAAATCAGCCATTAAGGACAACAGGGAAATTTTAGCATGATCTGGATAATAGATGATTTATGTAATTATTAATTTTTAAAAAATTTAATAGTGGGGCAAGGGCTGTAGCTTAGTGGTAGAGTTTCAATCCTCAGCACCAAAACAAACAAAACAAAACGTTATTTGACGATATAGAAAATGTTCTTTTCTTTTAGAGATGTGCAGCAAAGTATTTAGAGGTCCATACCATGTCATCTGTAATTTACTTAAAAGTACCTGACATGAAAAGAAAAATAAGGGGTTAGGGACACAGCTCTGGCAGAGGGCTTGCCCAGCATGCCTGAGGCCTCGCATAAAGTTTTCAGGTAAAAGAAAAAATGACTGCTTTTGTTTCAGGCGTGGTATGTTTATGTGAAAAATTTGGTTCTAAGGGTTCTCTTGTCAATTATTTCCTAACTTAAAAACATTTTTTTGGTAACAAAACAAGGCAAAGAAATTTTTTTAGTCTCCTCTTTCTGAAAAGTCATTTTTTAAGTCAATTTATAATTAGAATTTCTCACCTTTCATACTGAATAAATTACGAAAAAAGAAAAGAGCCACATTTTTGAGAAATTTTGACAAGTTAGATGTGGATAGAGTTTAACCACAATTCAGAAACATATGTAGTCATGGGGACAAATTTTTTTTAAAGCATTTTTTCCCAGTACTGGAGATTGAACCCAGGGCCTTCATAATGATTGTATCGTCAGCCTTTTGTATTTTTAATTTTGATTTGATACCGGTTTTGCTAAGTCACTAAATTACCCATGCTGTATCTGAACATGTAATCCTCCTGGCTCAGCCAGAGAGCTGGGATTATAAGTGTGCACCACTATCCTTGGCTTTTTTTACTCTTCTGGTCATTACTATAGAAAACTAAGAAAGACTATAGAGAAATAGTTTAAAATGAAGCCTGAATGAACTGAAATCACCAGTTATGAGGATAAAATGAGTAAAATATTACTTTAATAGCATCTCTCCTTAGTTCAAAATGAAAATTTAGACGCTGGGGAGAAACCCATGTTGAAAAAGTCCTCTGGTTGTACTTTCAGCTTCACTGTAACAGAGTGCATTTTTTTTCTCTGGTACCGGGGATCGAACTCAGGACCTTGTGTTTTCAAGGGAGGCGCGGTGCCACTAAGCTAAATCCCTGGCCCAACAGAATGTGGTTTTAAAAATATTTACCTACCTAATATATATTTTCCGTTTTCATACCACAGCCACTTCAGCTCTTCCATCAATTGGTATATACCATAAACTGAAGCAAACCAACAACCAAGCATTAAAGCCAAAAAGGTGCTATACTGTGTACAGAAGAAAATAAATGACATATTTTTTTGGTTCAGTCACTCTTACAAAAATAGAAGAAACAAATAAACCCTTTGTATTAGAAACTTCTGCATCAAACTGAACTGAAGTCAATAGCATCTTGTGACTCAGGGCACAGTCCTCAAACAGTATCAGCTCTGCTCGGGGGGACTGTGAGAAATGCAGACTCTCTGGCCCCCTGCAGACCAGAGCCTGCATCTTACTAAGATCCCGGGGGCTGCCATGTACGTTAGAGTTGGAAAAGCACTACTCAGAAGAATGTGCTTATTTCAAAGTAACGCTTGTGCAATAAGCTTTAATAGGTAAATGCAACATCACCATCATAAATTAATACACTTTACCTTCAGCTAAGTTCAGGGCCTTATTTTGTTGAAGGTGTGTTGGAGAACTACTAATCACAAAGAAACCCTTAGATGTAGCAATGCTATTAATTAAGGTCACAAAGATTTAGCATCATGAGATTCCCAAGTTCTGCCAAGATGAGAAAAGCTTTTACTCAATACAGAATCTCTTTTCATTCATTAAAAAAAATTACCTACAAAAGAGTATCAAAAAATGTATCACCAATACTTAATAATTTGATAAGCCTACATATAGTAATAATTAAAAATGTACTCTCCACAAAGACACATTTTAAAGTAAGTTTAAGTTAAGAAATGCATAATGAGCTACATAATTTCCATTAGTTTTTTGTATCTATGAGGTCATAGTTCCCATGTTTTATTTATCTGCACATAGTAACCTACCTTTGGGATGTATCTTTTCACCAACAGCAGGACAAAGACTAATGTCATCACAACACCTAGCACCGTCCCTGAGGTGTAATAGAAAATGGGGCTTCTGTCAAGACAAGAAGATTAAAAACTGTTTCAATGCTAAGTGGGACTTTCTATATGGAACATATATTTGATACAGCAATGGTAGCCATAATGAATACTATGGAAGAAAAACACAAAGGACAACTCTAATCACATCTTATACTCTTAAAATTGAAGTCAGTATTTGAAATGTATGGTAAATACCTTGTCACTAACTTCAAAATGAATGCTTGAGTTACCTTCTCTATTCAGAATCTGATCTGACAATAACTGAGCACCTGACACATAGGAGCCAACTGTCTGAGACCTTTACATGCATCCACAACCATCCACATCTAAGTTTTACAGAGGAAATTAAAGCACCAAGAAGCTTTGCTCTCCCCCTAGTCGGGCATGGTGGCACAAGAGGATCCAATTCCAGGCAACTCAACGAGACTATGTCTCAAAACTGAACAAATGAATGAATAAATAAATAAAGATTTACAAGGGGCTTGGATGAGAAAAATACAAATTAAAACTACACTGAGATACTATCTTACTCCAGAATGAATAGCTATCATCAAAATATCTAAAAATAACACATGCTGGCAAGGATATGGGGGAAAAGGAACCCTTGTACATTGTTGGTGGGCATATAAACCATTGCAACCACTATGGAAATCAGTGCAGAGATTTGTCAAAAACCTGAAAATTGAAATTCCATTTGACCCAGCTACTTCCCTCCTAGGTATCTTCCCAAAAGAGTTAAGATCATATTATAAGGATACATGCATACTCATGTTTATAGAAACACAATTTATAATAGCTAGATCTTGGAAATAGTGTATATACCTAATAGATGAATGAATAAGGAAAAGGTGGTATTTATATACAATGGAGTATTACGCTGCCATAAAGATAAACTTGAGGTATTCACAGGTAGATAGATGCAATTTGAGAACATAATGTTAAGTGAAATAAGTCAGACACACAAGTTCAAATATTGCATGGTTTCTCTTATACGAAACTTCAAATACTTCCTCAAATTATATATTCTATTGTTTTAATTATTTCAATATATATGCTAAATTGTTTCACTTATACTAAAAGTTTATCTTAGTTCATTGAAAAGAAGCTTGTTTTATTACCTGTTTGTTTCTTTTCTTTTTTTTTTTTGGTACCAGGGATCGAACTCGGGTCCTTGCGCTTGCACAGCAGGCGGCAAAACCACTGAGCTAAATCCCGGCCTGTTTGTTTCTTTTTTGTAAGAATCTTTGGTTTAAGTTTCGTACTGAGTACTTTGAAGATAATAATACACAGGGTTAGTCACTATTATTACTGCTTTATTATTCGGTTGTGAAAATATTCTTTTCATAAAATAAAAAATGGGGGCCAGGGATGGAGCTTAGTGATAGGGCACCCCCGGTAGGATCCTGGTCCTCCTCCACATACACACGTCTCCCAAGCAGGTACATGCTACCTTGGAGACCCAGGGTCACAGTGCACTCCTCAGAGTCCAGCTCCACTCTTCCTACCATGTACTGTACACAGGGTCAGGCTGACAAAGCCTTGGGATGATGCCAGCCATTCCACATGCTTGACTGTGCTATCGGGAAGACCTCAAAGATGAGCACTGCCAAGAAGAGCTGACAAATGCTGGGTACTAACTCGCATGAGCAAGTTGGGAGGTAAAATATTAGAGGTTGCTTTTTCATGAGGAAATGGCAAGAAACAAAACATCAGAATAACATACTGTTCTCAGAGTCTGATATTTGTTATGTTCAATCTTCTGTATCAGAGCCACCTCTAACATAACAGAGCAAGCAGACTGATTAGAAAACAGGAGGATGAAGCTTGGCTTTGACGAGGATTGCTCGTGTGATGATGGATGTTGGTTTTTTAATCATCAATATAAGGAGAACAATGGGGCCAGGGATTTAGCTCAGGGGCACCATGCCTGCCTTGCAAGCACAAGATCCTGAGTTTGATCCCCGGTACTGGAAAAAAAAATATGAGACCAATGACACAGAGCTCACGTAGTTGTTATGGAAATACTGATGCACAAAATACTGTATGTGAAAGCCCTGTGTACTACACATCTGGTTACACACATAACTGTTGCTGTCTTTACAGATCTTTCAAACACTATCTTTACATCTGTTGTTTGCAAAACCTAAAGCAGGAACTGCAAGCTCTCCAGAGGTGTGCAAATATTTAGCACAGAGTCAAACATGGCCTATCTCCTTTTGAAATCACAAGTTAAGAATGTAAAAATTAATATTTACTGGCTTAAGGTCTTTGCATAAAAGTAAAGGACAATGCCTGCCACAAACACAAGGAAGAGTTTGAAATCCACAACTGGAGTAAAAAAAGATACAACAAATATTTTGTGTCAATATAACATTGGTAAAAGAAGAGACAAGTCATTCCAGAAAAACTGAATCCAGGAAGCAAAGTATAATAAAAAACAGACTTACTATTTCGATTTACACTTATTGTATAGACATATGTCTTCTTGATGGGGTTCACAGTGAAGCACACAGTCTCCTTGTATGGACTGATAGCTATGGTTATTTTATTAGACTCCTTTGGTGTCCAAAAGTTATGAAATATACATTTGATAACAGATAGAATCGTTTCTGGATACTGGCAATTATGCCTTTCTGTGATATATACAATACTAAAGAGGACTGGACTGGTGATGTTCACCTACAAAACAAACAAATCCATAAACACAGAAGTAAAAACTTTTCATAAGCTTCTTAAAAGGGTGGGCAGAGGAGGAAGGAGAACCTAAGACTGCCTGAGGAAAGGACATATAGATGCACGCAGTCATGTTCTGGTCTTCAGGGCTGACCCTATACACCTACATTTAGTCCAAACACACACTGGACCACAAACATCTTTGAAAATGGATGCTTCTTCTCCTGAGTTACAGTTGTCTTAACTCTTGTGTCCCCTCCAAGTCTCATCCATTTGGAAGATGATGCATCATGGGGCTGTTAAACCCATCAATGCATACGCCCACTGATGAGTACCTAGCTGAATGTGCTATTAGGAGGTGGGGTCTAGTCAGAAGATGTGGGTCACTGGGAGTGTGACCGGGAAGGGTGTATTCTTGTCCCCAGCTCCTCCTTTTCCTCTCTGCTTACTATCTGCCATGCCCTTCCACCATACTGTTTCTGCCTTGGAGCCAGCCAACCATAGACTGAATCATCTGAAACCTTGAGCCAAATAAACCTCTCCTCCCTTAAGTTACGGGTGTGGGGTATTTTGTCCCCAAAATGGGAAAGTGACTAATACATCTCTCTTCTAGCAAGTCATTGTGGCATGTAAGAGACATGTAAGGGTCTCTCCATTCTGGGAACTCTTTCCTTGTATGCTCTTGTCTTCCACCTCACCTCAGCTAATCATTCTCATAGCTGTGCCCTGGACCCATGAGTAGCAAACTGCAGCCCCCACACACCACCTGCTATCTCTCCAGCATGTCTCCTTTGGCACCCTGGCCCCCCACCAGGGATCAGAACATCTTTTCCCTACTCCTCACCCCCTTGATGTCCTCAGTCCCTTATTACCCAGCTAAATTCCATGATCAACATAAGCCATCCATGACTCCTTTGCAACCCTCTTGCTTTGTTGTGAAAAATGCAGCTCTCCACCTACTGCACTCTTGCATTTGTGCTACCATATCCATCATAGAAACACACAGCAGATTCGCTTCAAATCCTTGACAGTGAGCCCAAAGTGGGACCTGGAAGCTATCATCATCCACACCCCACATTCCTATGCATTCATTCATCTACTCTCAACAGATGATTTCCCAAAGACTCCTGCAGCTCCCCATCCTCACTCTCAGCTGATGATCTTTCTCAGCAGTCAGTGTCGCCCTGCTCCTCTGCCCACAGCCACCTGCCTGTCAGCATCTGCAGCCACAGGCTCTCTGCCAGAGAAAATGAATATGCTCCACTGAAGGCAAACCTGAATGGCCACCTTGCTCTAACAAGGACATCTCACTGGCACTTCTCTCTACTAGACCATACCTTTATTTTCCCATTTAAAACAACAAAAACAACAATCTTTTAAGAACTCCACTTTCCCATTGCTGTCTCCTGTTTCTATACTTTTTACTGCAATACAATTCCTTTTTAAGTTGCCCAAATCTGCAGGCTTCAGTTCCTCATTCTCTCCTTGGCCTCTTTTGTCAGCCTCTCACCCCCACAGGCTGTCCTGACGAAGTCACCATTGCCACCACATTCCTAAACTGCACGTTCAGTTACTTCACCTCTGCCACTGCTGGTCTCTCCCTTCTCTCTGTTACACTTTCTTCCCAGGACTTTCACTTCTCGCTCCTCTTTTCTGCTGGCTCCTTCCTTCTCCCCAATTGACCCAGGCTCAGCCACAGTCCTGGCTGTCATCTGGATATGGTCTGAGTGTGCCCCCAGGGGTTCATATGTTCGGAGCATGGTCCCAGTGTAGCAGCACTGAGTGGTGATGGCGTCCTAACAGGGCGGGCCTGATGGGAGGTCCTCAGATCACTGGGGAGCTGCAGCACTCTGCAGAGCAAGTTGTTAGAAGAACAAGACTAATCCCTGAATCTCCTTGGCTTCCTATTTTACATGTGCTCCTGCCGCTGCCACCCACCATGAGGTGATGCAGCCCATGGGGGCCCTCGCCAGAGTCTGGGCCACGATGTCCAGACTTTTAGCCTCCAGAATGGTAGGCCAAATAAAGCTCTTTTCTTTATAAAAGTAGCTTGCTTCAGCTATTTCATTACAGTGATGAACAACTAACACAGTTCTTTTCTCCATCTAATCTCACTCCTTAGTCTCATGGTTTTAAGTACTATGTCTATAAAGATACAATGCTGCTTACTTTTGCACAAAGAGACACAGGGAAGATACCAGGAACTAAGGCATGATTGCCTACAAGCACCAGGTGAGAATAAAGGGACTGGGGGCTGCAGGACTGACGCTTCTCTCTCTGAGAACATTTCTGTGAACAGTTTTGACTTTTAACCCATATTAATGTTGTATATACTCAAAGATAATATTAAAATCAACCAAAATGGGTATAAATTCTGATGAAAACACATAAAAACAAACAGTATTTTGAGTGAATGATATAGCTATACTGAAGAGGGGTGGATGGGCATGAACCAACCCAAGGAAGTTTTTTGTGGAAAACTTAAGACTCTACGCCCTCAAACTACTGTACAGATAAAACACTATAAACAAATATCAAGCTCCTCTTACTAGGTTTGGTTTTCTAACAGCATAACTTAGCAATTCTGAAACTACTTTCAACAAATTCCATACTAGGCAAATAAATACACTGAGGATGGTGGAAAGTTACAAATATGGAAAATGGAAGGCTAGAATGAACCCTGTGATCTTGCGATATCAGAACTCATGGTTGTAAATAAGCAGAGAGAAACAGATGTACGCGCAGGGTGTGTGTGTGTGTGTGTGTGTATGTGTGTGTGTACAGCAATGATATCCTAGTAACAATCACACCTCATGCTGAAATCTCCTTGGAAAAATATATGATTGCAGGGTTGGGTCTAGGAAACTGTCTGAGCCTAAAATATCTTGTTTGCTAGAAAATAAAGTAGTGCTCAAAAAGGGATGCAGGAGGTAGTCGGAAGGAGTTCCCACTTGCCACATATGGGACAAGGTGAGTATCAAAATAATTAACAAGAGTAATGGCTTGTATCCCACTGAATGAACTGGCAATTCATAAGGTTATGTAGATAACAAGAAAGTAATTAATAAATGGAGTAAAATCTCTTCCCTAGTAGAATGCCAATGAATGTAAAAAGAATAAATGAATTAGAAAATTACCATTTGATAAACATCATGATGATAACTGGTTCAAGAAAGCATCATTAATGGATTATAAAACTAAGAGGTATAAGTTTGATGGGGAAGAGAGTATCTACAGTTGGAAATTATCTTCTCAAAATATTCATTGAGGGGAAATGGTAGTAATTTTAAAGTAAGGGCATGACAAACACTGCAGTGGGTGATTAAAGTGGCATGCATTATTGGTAATGGTACAAATCAACATCATGTACCTCCTGATAACAATGTTCCTCCTGTCCCCCCAGCCTGGAGCACTTGTTCCCCACATACCCTTCTGGGTAACTCACTTTGCTGAAATCTTTCTTAAATGTTACCTTTTCAATGAGAACCATCCTGACCTCTCCTTTTAATACTGTAACCTGCCACACTGTACTCATTTAGATGGTGTATTCACTTGGAGTGGTCTGGAAAGGGGCTGGAGGAGTGTATGGAGGAGTAGATGTCCCCTTCCACATCCCCCTCCTCACTCCTGTTCGTGTTCTGGATGTCAGCTTTCATCCTGATACTCAGCCACATGCCACACCATATGTACTTTTTATTCTTGAAATGGTGTATTCTCATTTCCTGTCCTTAAGACATGATTTAAAAGTAGGCCTTACCTCCGGAGTTGACCACATATATGTCCATTGTATTTGAGAATTCGGGTTGTAGCAGTAACAGTGTGACCCAGCAGTTTTAATTAAATCCATTTCCTTCAAATCTTTACATCTTGAAGCTGAGAGATGGAAAAAGAAATAATTTCCAAAATATATGACCACCTAGACTCTTAAAAGTTTTTCCAATGGGAGATAGTAAGAGTTTTGACATTTTGTGACCAGTAAATTCTTTTACATGGTAATTATATTCCTTTACTCTTTCCAGTATAGCAAGAACCGCACAGAAAGTATGTCTGGTGTCAATCTCTTGTGACACATGGAGGGCACGGAAGGTCACTGAGAACAAGCCTGTCTCCAGTCCTGAAGTGGAGGACAGGGGTTGAGAGCTGTGTCTCAGAAAGGATGAGATATGGGCGGAAGACTGAAGGGTAAGATGGAGGGCAGGGGACAGGGCCAGGGCTGGGGGGTGGCAAATGTGCACAAAGTCATGGAGATGAGAGGACTTATGGGAGTGGCTCAGCTCGGGACTGTGTGACTGCTACACGGAGAGAACATGGAAGGAGTGGAGGGGGACCCGGAGACCTCACACCTGCAGCTGGACCAGTAACCAGTGCTTGCTCCTACACCAATAATGTGGACTTCATCTTGAAAGCAGGCGCTGAAGAATTACAGGTGAGTATCAGAGCCCCTGCAGGACAGTGCTGACAGCAAAAGGGCTTCACTGAGGAGAGATCAGTTAGGCTGTGGGCCGGGGTAAGGCACCAATGACAAGGCACTGTGAAGCTCCCAGACACAACAGCAGCAGGAAACCTGGAACAGCTCTAGGCCTGGAAGAGCAAGAGGAGGACCCCGTGTTACTGGAGCTAGGAACTAAGTGAGGAAGGAGAAGGAACAGACTCAAGAGCCCACTGGACATGAAGTCAACAGGCTTTGGAAATTCTTCTGCAGGAGGAGGGGAAGAAATGCTATGAAAGTTCCTGGTGAGTGGAGAGATAGTGAGGGCCTTCACCCAAGAAGAAATACTTGGGGGAGGAAGGGGTGAGCTCAGCTTTGGACATACGTGTACCCTGTTTTCACTGGTGGGACTAAATGAAGACAATCAGTCTGCAGCACAGGAGAAACTGGGCTAGAGATGGCTGGAGGCACATATATACTGTATGAGTGTTTGGTACAAGTACATGTAGTATATATACTATATAATAATTATATACAACACAACATGTGAGAGAAAGAAAAACAGGTGCTGTATACAGAATGTTAATGTGGTAAATGCTACAAAAATTAAAAACTAAAGGGGTTCAATTTCCTTGGTGACCATGGGTGTATTTGCATTTAAAATGAAATAAGTTCTTCTGAATCCAAGATAGCATGTCAAACAGAAAGTCTCTCAAATAGAAAACAGGAACAGGGAACCTTCATGGGTACCCAGAGAAATGGGCCTTATGCCCAACTCCCAGCTCCTCTAAGGAAAGGGTGACCAGCTATGTCTACAAAAAACCTGAAATCAAGCTAGAAGGTCCTGCTACCCCAACGTGGGGGAAGGCTTGGGTGACCAGCAGTAACCAGTCAGCAATCACATCCCTTTAGGGAATAGTACTGAATGAGCTCAGATGGGTCCCTGTGTGAGCTTGAAATGCCCTTAGCATTCACCTGGAGAAAAGTGAAGGCGGACTTGGGGAAGAGATCCTGGGGAAGGATGCCCACCTCCTGAAACACAGCTGCCTGAGCCTCAGGTCTCCCAGGAGGCTACACAGAGCAGAGTTCCATGAGGACCCAGGGTACACCACTGTGACAGTCACACCCTTCCATCCCCACTCCTAACACTGTGAGGAAATACATCTGTTTAAAAACATATCAATGGGGCCAGGGATGTAGCTCAGTGGTGCTGCCGCCTGCCTCACAAGCACAAGGTCCTGAGTTCGATCCCTGGTACCAAAAACAAAAACAAAAACACACAAAAAAATAAAAACACATCAACAAGTTTTTAGTTGGAGAGTCTGAGATGTAAATCTAAGAATCCAGGGTAAGAGCCAGGTTTCAAAGCGGTAAAAGAAGGAAGCTCAAGAGGCTCTGTGTTAAATACAGGACACTAAAAATTAAAAACGCACTCCTGTATGGTCTATATGCAAGAGCCCAGCACAGACCACAGAACCAGTGCTCGGAATGGAACACGCCCACCAGCAGTGCTAGGCACTCCAGGGCCTGAGATGCACTCCACTCCAGCCGAGGGCAGTGTGGGGAAGAGCAACCCTGGATATCAAGAGGTAGACGGTACCTGCAGGAAAGAATGAGAACCCCGAAGGGCTTGATCGCACGAGAGCTAGCGTGTGGTGAGCGACACAGCAAGGCAGGAAGGCCGCCTGGCTGGCCTGCCCGCATCCCGTCCTCTGCTATGGGCTCTGGGCAGGAGCCGCGGCCAAGCTGGATGCCCAGGCTTGAGAACATGGTCCTGGGAGTCCTCTCTACAAGTGAGGGGTCTACCTAGCCCTGCAAAGGAGCGCATTCCAGGAAGACAGGTGAAGGACATGCGGTCTGGGTCCACAGCCCCAGTGGTCCCAGGACATTACAAGAAGGTTCACTTCCGTCCAGTGCTGTCATCACTGTGTGCCTGTGCTTCTTACGGGTGCCTCCAGGGCCCTCCCAGCAACTCCTCTCCTGGTCAGCTCTGCCACCCAAGGGCTGAGTCCACGTGCACAGAGCAGTTTCCTTTTGCTGAGGGTCTGAGGAACTACCCTCTGTGTGGGGCTGAACTCTGGCACAAGGTCTTTCCCACCCGGTCCTAGGACTGACTGTCTTCTAAAGCGTTTGACACCAGCAGCTTCTATGTTAAGAGCAGTCACATGCAGTCCGAGTATGGTGCCATAGTTTGAATTTGCGTCAACAACTCTCCGTCACCAAGCCACATTCATCTTGCACTTAGGCTACCGTAACAGCCTTCTAGCTGGCCTCCCTGCTTGCAGAAGCGTCCCACAGCTGGTGTTGGCTCCCATTTCACCTTCCTGGGCAGGTCCCTCTGACCCACTGCCCGAACTCACACACCCAGCATGGGCGTCTGCTTCCTGCTGACTCTGCTTTTTCTGTCTTCATATTATATATGAATATATTAACTCCCCCTACAGAGTTAGGGACATTGTGTGTTCATCCGTGTATCCCACAGCATTTAAATATCTGTCATCTGTGCGTGTGGAAATTCAAGAGAATTAAAGGATTACATGAGCAAGTGCAGCCCAGCCAGGGAAAACCCAACCAGTTTTGCTAAGAGCCTCACCAGTGCCAGTGAGCACCAGAAGAGGAGCCCGTGGCCCTGCCTTGGAGCCCTCCTGATGCAACAGGACACCTTCTCAGCCTGGGCCACTGCCACCCCTGCAGAACCCACACACAGATGGCCATATGCAAAGCCTCAGGCTTCCTCCTCTACCTCATCACCACTGAGCTCTTAACCAGAGGGCTGAGCCTGGGGCCCTGCAGAGCTCCTGGCCAGGGACCACCTTCTCGCTCCTCACTGGATACAGGAGGGGCAGGGGAAGCAAGAAGTGCAATCACCTCTGTGTATCTTGTGTATCCTGGTTAGCAGGAAAGAGCCTGCTCTAAATTGCCCCTCAGACTTCAAGCACATCAAGGGAATAACAGATGGAGGGAGGCCACCTGACTACTGTCAACTAGACACACTACTAAAAGCATGTTGCCAGCAGTATCTCCCTGCAATTCTCCACAGTGGCCTCTGGGTCCCAAGGTGAAGCTGATGTAGAATTTACAAAACACACAAGACAGTATAGAGAGGGTGTCAGCATTCACGCTGTCCTCTGGTGGTCGTGTTCTTATCCCCTCTCCTGAGGTGAGTGCATCTCAATCAACCCACACATGAATTCTGAAATATCTAAAAGACCAGCAGCTCTGTCAGCCACAAGAAGGTACAGGCCTCACCCCAAATGAGCTCACGGGAACCATAAGCCATGACCTAATAGGACAAGACCTGAGACTGTGGCTTCTGACAAGGCTGCTGTCAGAGACCAGGTCTTTCTACTTAGGCTGGTTACCAAAGTCCTGTCTTCCCTAGGCTTTTCTCCTCCTTCCTTCAGTAACCTTCAAGACTGCTCATTGTCCAGGTGAGCTGGAAATAGAAAACATCATCAGTTTGACTGTTTCACCTCTGTCCTCAAAGAAGCAGGGACAATGAAGGCCAAGAAGCCAGCCGCCTATCCGTATGTGAGCTTCACTTACTCATGCAGCCCTCGATTTTGCTGGCTAATTCTGCTATGAGGAACCTCTTGCTGGCAATTGTGGGCGACTCAAGATACATCCCAACAACAATGCCTGCATCATGCAATCCAGAAAATGGAAAAGATTTCTGAGAATTTATAAAAATGCAGTGACAATCATTCATTTAGCCAGAAGGGAACAATACCACCTCGGGAGACCCACTGCTCCCACTTGGGGCTGAAATATGCCCTCACCCTGGAGGGTGCTCCATAGCCAAGTTGCTAACATCCTCAAATCCGACTTGGGGTGGGAGAGAGGCGCTCTCAGTCCTTCTGAGAAACCTGACTTCTGGACAGCATGCACTTCTGGGGCGCTGTGTCCACAATACAGTACTCACATCACCATGGGGTGCAAGTCAAGGTTACCCGAACCTGTGATCAGAGCCCTTGGGCCAATTTATAAATCTTCACCTTCGATAATTTTAGGACTGCAGGAGTCCTCCCTGTACTGTGGTTTCACTTTCTACAGTTTCACTTACCTGGTCAACCATGTCCAAAAATATTAAGTGGAAAATTCCAGAGATAAGTTTTAAGTAACTTTTATTACAGTATATTGTTATAATTGTTTTATTAGCTTTATCTTATTATTAGTTACCATTGTTAATCTCTGTACCTAATTTATAAATTAAACTTGTTTGCAGGTAGGTGTATCTAGGAAAAAACATAGCATAAATGGGGGTGAGCACTGAGGTTTCAAGTGCCCACTGAGGGTGAGCTGCGTATTACCTGCTTTAATTAATAAGTTAAATTTACAATTACTCGTCTGAGCCTTGTGGTACATGCCTGTAAGCCTAGCAGTCTGGAGGCTGAGGCAGGAGGATCACTGAGTTCAACACAAGCCTGGGCTTCACACCAAGTGTAGGGCCAACTTGAACTACATAGTAAGAACCTGTCTCAAAAAACACACACACACACAAAAAAAACCACTCCTCTGTAGTATTTTTGCCACTTATTAGTAAATGTCTAAGTATATATTTAAATTTAAGAGTTTGGTCATACATGTAGTAAAAATATTCGGTCAAAACTTTAGAAAAGAGCAGGTAGTACTTAAACTGACTTACCGAATATTCTAAAAATAAAAAGCACAAATACTTCTCAAATCTCAGATCTTAAAGTACTTCCCATATAAAAATAGTAACCAACATTCCTCTTGAAATTTTAGCCTTTGATGGCTCTCATATAAAAAACTATCCTCAAATTAAACTATAACAGAATAAGAATAAGCACTTATTAAATTACACTGATGTTTTCTCCTTTTGACCTGTAATTCTTTTTCTTTTAGGACCAAAGGTGGGGAAAAAGAGCAAGAAAAACAAAAAGCAAGCACAAACCAGCCTTCTCTTGTGGGAGTTCAAGTGCAACCAACTGGTCCCAGATGGGGTTAGGACTGTCCTTGGTGTTCCTTTGTAAATGTATGCTTAAAGGTGTAGCACACAGGTAACATCTCTATTCTACTAACCCCAATTTGCTTGACTGTTTTTAATCTGAACACACACTTTGATTTTTCTTCCTTCAAGACACAAGAATGAAAGTGAGATCAACAGGTGCTAATGTGCAGTCAGGTCTGACCTAACTTCCAGGAGAGATCTTCCTCCGCCACAGAGGAACAGAAAGCTGTGAAACGGAAATGACCTATCCCTGTAGTGTAAGCCTGGGGAACCTTCCTGTGACCTGAACCTCATCCCAGGGACCTCATCCAGTGGTGACAAATTACAGTAATCCTCGGTGTGAGGCTTCTCTTCCTCTCAGCCAGGCAGCCACTTGTGCCTCCAGTGCAAACTGCCTGACTTTCCTCCAAAGAGGGTGACAGGATGTTCTCACATGGGAAGGAATTGTGTGTCCCCAGGACAGAATTTCCGACAGGAAGGGCCCTGTGTCCCATCTCCACCCAGCCTCTCCTGTAGTAGATGGCCCCACTTTATGGAAGGATGATGTTCAGTAGCTCTGCCTCACCTGTAGTTTTGCTCACTGAGGCTGCAGTTACCAGTCTGAAAATACTAAATAGAAAATTCCAGAGATACACAATTCATAAGTTGAAATAATTTATTGCAGCATATTGTTGTTACTGTTCTATTAGTTATTACTGCTATTCTCTTACTGTGCCTAATTTCCATTAAACTTTACTCTAGGTGTGTATGTACAGGAAAGCAGTACACACAGGGATCTCTGACATCCACTGGGGCCTTGGAACAAGAGTATTCCCTGTGGATGGTGCACCTAATGTACCAGCTGTTTCGTCTCCTCATACATCAACTTCAGAGCAGCAGTAGTTCTCAGGCCTGGTTTAATCCAGGGGTTCCAATATGGTGGCCCTGGGACACTACAGGATGGTTCGAGCTTGGTACTTCCTAGTCTTTCTATGTGCAATCGCAAGCCTCACTTGATGCCCACAGAAGCTGCTGTTGCTTAGCTGCAGACTAGAACTTTATCAATTCAGTAGGCATCTTCCATGTCTCAGGCAGAACAGGAGCCCTGGTAAGCATTTATGTACGTTTCCAATAAACAAAACTGAAAATCATTACCATTAAGTGTGGTAATACAGAAACCTGAAGAACACTGGGTTCTCTGAGGCAATTAAAAGGTGCAGAAAATACTGGATACTGTTCGGCAGTACATCTTCATTTTCCTGTAAGAAAACTGGTCTATAAAGACTATGAGCCTCACCCCAGGTTATATCACAAGCAGCGGCTGAATGTAATGCCTAAACCAGACCCTGAGGTTCTGGGTGTTGGTAGGGCTACTTCTAATCCTCTGGCTGCTACCATGCCCAGAAACCCTCCTCCTTAGGGAGGTCTGTGTTTATTTTTTTCAGTAGTATGTACTTGTTACATTTTTTATTACTAATCCTTCATTTCCCAATCCGTAAAATGGGAATATAACTGCTACCTACCTCTAATGAGCTTCTAGGATTATTAAATACAATAGATAATTAGGCTAAAGAACTTTTAACACTGCCCAGGGCATGAACACCTGCTATGTGTTTGATGAAAGCTGGCGCACAGTTCCCCAAGGTGGAACTCACTGCATGTATCTGTTGGCTGGCAGCTGCGGCAGAGCAAATACAGTAACTGCCTTCTCTCTTTCTTCCTTAGAGTCCTTCCAGGAATCCATGGAATCCTGGCTTTGTGCGGGAAGGCCAGTTCCAGCTTAAAGACAACACTTGGCACCCTCCCTTGCAACCGGGGAGTGACCAACAAAATGAAGGAAGAGCGTGAAGGGTGCGCTCAAGAAATCCTTTAAAGAGTGTTATGGGCAGGAAACTGAAAGAAGAGAGGAAATTAAACTGACAGCAAATCACAAGCAGTTCTGGAGTCCAAACTCGCGTTTTCTGACTCCCCCTGGGATCACCCCGCGGACGATGACCACCACGAGAAGCTACCAGTTCTGGGCACACCATAACGACCCAGGACCCTGGAGGTGTCATCAGAAGCCTACACATGACCAGTTAGGTGACTTACCCAAGGTCACTACAGCCAGTCAAGGGCAAGGGAGCGTCTGGCTCATCCTCAGACTGAAGCTCTTACCCTCTCCAGTCTTGAGTTTACAGGAATAGCTAGCGATATAAGGCGTTTTGTTTGTTTGTGGTACTGGGGATTGAACCCAGGGCCTTCGAAAATGAGCTACAACCCCAAGCCTTTTTTAAAAAGAAGGTTTTCTTCCTGGAAACAGGGTCTCCTAAATTGCCCGTGTTGGGCGCGAACTTGTTGTCCTCTGGTCTCGGCGTGCGGGGCGCTGGGGTTTCGGGCGTGCACCACCACGCCGGTCAGTAACGCAAACCGATGGACAGTGCTGCAGGCCCAGAGCCCAGGGCTGGGCGTGCCCATGACGGGCTGGGTGGCTCCGGACAAATCAAAGCAGCTGTGCGCTTCGGCGGCCGCGGGAAAACTAGGGAACGGGCCTGGCTTTGCAGTTCCTGTCCTGGGACCACAGAAGGTCCGGGTCCCGGGGGACACGCGGGGGCCCAGGGGGCCCCGGTTACCTGAGAGCGCCGCGTCCTCCCCGCGCACGGCGCCCGCGGGCCCCAGCCAGAGCAGCGGCCACCACATCGCCCGGCTCGGCTCCGCGGCTTCCGGGTGGCCGCGGGGTGGCGGCGGAAATGGAGCGGCCCGCGCGGGAAGGCTCGGAGGACCCCTCGTCGGGCGGGAACCGCGGGGTGGGGGGGGTGGCGGGGGGCGGGGGGGTCCGGCCCGCGTCCCTGCCCTCCTCGCGGCAGCGCCCCGCCTACTCAAGCCTCTCCCCGCCTCTTTCCTGTTTCTCGCCCCCCGTCCAGGACTCGCTCCGCCCTCCGTCCGGCCTCGTCCCACCTCCTCGGGCATCGCCCCGCCCTCCGCTAGGCTCCGCCCCACCCCGGATGCTGTCTGGCGCCAGGAGGGGCTGGCGGAGGGTGTCTCCTCCGTGAGGTCGACTGAAACTTTCGCGACCCACGACCCTTGGGCTTGGGGCGCCCGGGTGAGTGACAGCCAGCCAGCTACGGTTTTATAGATAAAAGCCAGTGTCTTTGTTTCACCTGTTTCATTCCCGTCTTTGGTAACTAACGAACAGGAAACTGGGTTGCTTAAAATAAATGGCTTGTATGGGTGAGCTCATAAATAAACATTTCAAAGGACAAAGAAGCTGTAAAAGTTCCTTCACCAACATAACAATCATGCCTCAAAAATAGATTGGATTAAAATATATATAAAGATATATTGTGTAAGTCTTAAGATTGATAATTAGGATGGTTTTAAGAACAGACCTTAAGGCGCCAGAACCCATTAATGTGATTTAATATTCCATACTTGACGAGAACACAAAGTCATTTTCTGTTTTGTAACTGGCCTTCTACTGAGATCCCTTAGAAAATCCAATGTGAGAAATCACCCTCTTAAAAGTAGTTCAGCCTCATTTTTCCTGAAGGTCTGAGCACGATGGAGTAGGGTTTCCCTTATCTAAAGGAAGGCTTAGCCAACTGCCCTTAAGCACTTGGCACCCTATGAATACCATATATGACTTTTTAATGTCCAGAAATTTCCTTGTAAGGGACTCTTCAGGGGGATGATTTTTAAAAAATAAGCCATGGGTCACCCTTGCAGGGTGTCTCCAGAGAAATAGCAGTTCCTGGCCCAGTTTTTCCTCTAAGTTCCTATAGTGATGGATGCATTGCCTCTTGCAAGACAGCTTTTTTTTTTTTTTGGTACCGGAGATCGAACTCGGGTCCTTGAGCTTGCGCAGCAGGTGAGGAAACCACTAAGCTAAATCCCCGGCCCTCAAGACAGCTTTTTGACCTAGCCACATTCATTATTTTGATTTGGCTTAATGTTGGATGCCACTGTGAAAAGTGACTAAAAGGAATAGATTGTTGAATGATGACTCCATTTTCCTGCAGATGAATCGGTAGGGAAATAAGAGTAGGGCTGGGAATTTAGCTCAGTGGTTCCACAGCCTGCCTCAAAAGCACAAGGTCCAGAGTTCGATCCCTGGTACCGAAGGAAAAAAAGAACAGACAGTAACATACTAAATATTTACACTATTCATGTGGTAGACCCTTAGTAAACATCTGTAAAGACACTTTATTGAAACAACATGTCAGAAACCATGTAAGCCGAGAATATGGAGTGACATATTTGAAATAGTGGAAGAAAAAAATACTGCTGATCCCCAATTCTATACCCAGCTACAATATCTTCCAAAAAATGAAGACAAATGTTGCTTTTCCTCTTTTCTGATAGACTTTCACTACAAGAAATGTTAAAAGAAGTTCTTCAGGGCTGGGGATTTAGCTCAGTGGTTCCACCGCCTGCCTCGCAAGCGGAAGGACCCGAGTTCGATCCCTGGTACCAAAAAAAAAGTTCTTCGTACAAAAGGAATATGTGACAGATGGAAATTTGTATCTAGACACAGAAACAGCTCCAGAAATGACAAAAATGAAAACAAAGCTTTGAAATTAATCACTTTAAAAGATAATTATTTAAAGCAAAAGAAATTGCAATGTATTGTGATGTTTATACATCTTTAGAATTAAAATATATGACAATACAACAAAGGATGAAAGAAAGGGAAGGAAGCATACTGTTATAAGGTTCTTATATCACATATGAAATAATTTAATAGTACTTGAAGTTAGACTAATAAGTTAAAGGTATATAGTATAAACCTTAGAACAAACACTAAAATCTTTTAAAAAGAAGTGTAACTAATAAACTAGTATAAAGATAAAATGGAATAATACAGTAATCTAAAAGAAAGCAAAAATATAAGGGGTAAAGGTTGAAGAATAAGTAGACAAATAGAAAACAAATAAAAAGATGGTAGATTTAAATCCTATTATATGTATAATAATAGAAAACATACATGGCCTCGACACCCTAATTAAAAGGCAGATATTGCCAGCTAAGGTAGACACTGTCAGCTAAGCTTATTTAAACAATCTACAAGAAACCCTGAAATGTAATAAAAAAGAAATGGTGCAAAAGATATGCCATATAAATACCAATCAAAAGAAAACTGAGTAGTTATATTAATATCAGACACTGTATACTCCAAAGTAAGAGATGTTACTCATAATTAAATAGGTTGGGGATGGCCTGAGGTTCTCTGTTTCTAACAAACTCCCTGGTCCAAAGATCCTATCTTGGGCATTAACTAAGCTACTCTACATAGATAGATAGATAGATAGATAGATAGATAGATAGATAGATAGATATTGGCAGAATGAAAGCAAATAGAAGGACTTCAAGATCAAACAGTTGAGAAGACAGCTTGTATCACCCCACAATCCCACAGTGATGAATTGCGTATTCGATACAGTCATGCAAGCTGAGCATGATGATGCAACCCTGTAATCCCAGCACTCTGGGAAGTAGAGGCAGGAGAATTACAAGTTTGACCCCAAATGGAAAATTTGGCAATTTAGCAAGACTCTGTCTCAAAAAAAAAAAAAGCTGGAGATGTAGCTCAGTGCAAAGGCCCTAGGTTCAGTTCCCAGTACTAGAAAAAAATATGTATATATATTGTCATACACTGCCAAATCATGTTTTAGTCAATGGCAGACTACATAAAGGTACAGTGTACACCATAGAGCCTAGGTGTGTAGTGGGCTCCACCATCTGGGTTTGGCTAAATCCACTCTGTGATGTTCACACAATGACAAAATTGCCCAATAATGTGTTTGCCAGAATACATCCCTACTGTCCAGTGATGTGTGACTGTACTTTTAAATTCCTACAGGAAAGAAACTTGTAATAAGCAGCCACTAAGATGGTCCCCAGTGATCCTCTCCACCTCCTGGTCCTCATTCCCTTGCGAGTTCCCTCCCACTCAGTGTGGGCTGGAAATACTGACTCACTCCTAATGAATAGTTTATGGCAGGGATGGTGTCACTTCCAAGGTTTGGTTGTAGAAAGATGGGATTCCAACGTGAGTGCTCTCTGTCACCCTCTCTGGTCATTTACACCCTGTGTGGGTGAGTGGAGGTTTCCAACAGAGGCCTGTGATGACTGCAGCCCTTGCTGATAACTTGATGCAGCCTTGTAAGAGACCCTGAGCCCAAACACCTAGTAAGCTCCTCTGAGATTTCTAGCCCTGGAAAACTGTGAGACAATAAGTGTTCATTATTCCCACCTGCTAAGTTTAATTCATTATGCAGCAATCAATAGCAGATAGAAAACTACTTTAACTTTCCCTACCCAGTATTTAGCTCTAAGGTTTTTTCCCAATAATGCCGTCTTGTTTCCATAATAATCTTGTTTGGTATTGCAGAATCATTGAGGAATTAGACACAAGCACTTGGTTTGTGTTTATATTCTACCAGAATTTAAGCCATAATAATTATTTTTCCCAAGCTGAATCTATGAACATTCCATGCACAAAGTTTAGAATCTTAAGTACAGTAATCATAATCATCATGGAGTCTTATTTTGAAGTCAAATTTAGTTTATAAAGAACTCGAGAATGCATAGGCTAGAATATTACAGTACTGATAAATAAACATGTTTGAGCCATGATGGCAATGAGAATAACCCTCCACCCTAAGACACCAAGGAGAAGGAGAAATACAGGAAGACAGAATGGAAATTGTGGTCACGTTTAGGGTGCCTAAGGGTCCTTGGATGGCATCATGTATAAATGCTTCCTTCTTGCAAGGACTGGCTGGGATTAACAAACTAATCGCTGCTGTCCATTGTTTTAAAATTACACCAAGATTTGTGTGCCTATTTCTAGGAGATGAATTATACAGTACTGATTAAACAATAACAACAAAACCCTATATAAACAGGGCTCCTGCAGAATCTTCTGTTCAAAGCCTCCTGTGCAGACTTTCTTTCCACATTTCCATTAGAATATATAAAGTGCTTGCCCATCAGTGACTCAGTAAAGTGAGAAAGTTGAAGTCATCATTAAATTTGCCCAGATGATATAAGACGATTGCATCTGAATATCATCACTACCCCATACATTTCTACACCAAAAACAACAGCTAACAGGACAGGGTTAGGGATATAGCTCAGTGGGAGAGCACTTTCTATCATGTTCAAGGCCTGAGTTCCATCCCCAGTACCAAATAAATAAATAAATAAATAAATAAATAAATAAATAAATAAATAAGGTCAGAATTCATCCCCTCTTTGAAGCAGCTGCCCATTTGTGCTTATGGACCCTAGCTGTCAGCTGCTGACAAATGCTTGTGTATATCTCTAAGACAGGATGAAGTGTGGGATCTTGGAGGATCTGGATCTCATAGACGGTAAAGAAACTGGCATCCTTGTCAGAATGCTAGTGACAGTGTGGGTAATGATAATTGCTGAATGTTATAAATGCAGATCCCCGGGGCATAGCGTCAAGAGATTCTAGTTGAGTCCCCAAGGCAAAAGCATTAGGAGCATGCACAAAACTTTGAGCTTCAGAGGGTTCTTGCTTGACAAAAGTGTAACATTTTGTGCAACTTTGTAATCACAAGTAAAATATTATATGTGCATGTTAGGTAATTCATTGCTATAGTGGGATATATAGGTATTGATTTTAAAAAAGCATATATTAAAGGTCTTCTTAAAATATCATTTTAGTGACCTAAGTTTTAAAAATTCCATCAGACAGTTCATTGGGGTATAAGGAAGATGACAATTCAGTTTTCAGCCTCTGCATTTTTACGTCT